ATATTGTAGTACAACAACCAACTAAGATACATCAGATAATTGCTAATAAGTTTTAAGAGTTTTAGAAACGAAAAATTAAAGTTGATTTTTATATAATACTATTAATTTCACACAGGTTTAAAACTATGCGTAATTTTATTCTTTTGTTCAAAATGTACGTACATTTATATTACATTACATTACATTACATTACAGTTTATTAGAGTAAATGTAATATTCTTATGTTATTTTTCTCTACGCATTGTAAAATTATTTATATGCTATTATAAAATTTTTTTTAACTCGATGTAATTAAAAAAATCACAATATAAAATATCACAAATATTACTCAAACTTTAACAGCATATTATTAATATTCAAGTATAAACAGTGTATAAACATTTGGACACAAAGTAACTTTACCTAATATAGGTTGCAGAGCGCAGCATAACTGAAAGCGCTAAGCAAGAAGTTTTGTGCTTTACAAAGGAAAGGCAAACAATTTAAAGATTTCGTAAGATTTCTATAGTGAAACAAATCCCAATGGTGCGACCGACGTGGACGAAATTGTTTTCCAAGTTTAGTCACAGTTCGCGTTAGTCGTTTTACGGTCCGACGGGAGTTCGAAGCTCTTAGTAACATTTGGCCGGTTGTCGCAGCCTCTTTTCTGCTTCTGCAAGAATTCACAGCGACATGCCGCCGCGCCCGCACCGCGATTTGACAGACACGAAATACGCCTTGTGGATAAGCTATTTTCAGATCCTACGGTAATATCCCTAGTAAAGTTTGTTTGATAAATCCCGTTACAAAAAATTATCCAAATATATCTCATGTATATCTCTTTTAAGAAATCACAAATAAAAAATTTAGTTAATTTTTAAATGTCATTCCTTAGACATTTTGCAAATCATCCTTATGGAAGTATATCGTTCAATATCATTCAATTAATAACTCGACATAACGATGACAAGTGATAACGATGACAAGTGACTGATAGGCAGAATAAGCGTCAATACTATCTCATACAATGAAGAGAATTTTATTTCAGAAATAATAGAAGAATTCACCGAACCGTAATAGCACGTGCGCAGATCTTTAGTCGCGGTGCTTCTCGAAACAGACGAAACTAAATCTGGTATGATTTAAAACAGGATTTGACAATTAGGAACTTTGTCTTTTTAAAGATCATTTTTATATCATTATTAGCAATAGATGATAAAATGTGAATTAAGATGCGAATGTGTTAAAGGTGATCCCATTTTAATCGAAAAAAATTACATTGTGTTAATTTACATTGCAACGAGCAATAATTAATTTGCGAGGACTCGTTACAGAGAATTGTTGGTACAAAAAAAGCAATTTACACGACTTAATTTTTTGCATATCAAATAATATTTTCAATCAGAAATAATTACTGATTTAAATTGAAAAAAAAAATTTAATTTATTGTTTCTTTCAAATATGTCAATATCTTGCTTTGAAAATAAAATTGACACACACACACACACACAAAATATAATGGTATATCTCTTATTAATTGTAAACAAATTACAAATGCTACATAATAAAACTTATGAAAAAAAAAAGGTAGATTTGATGATACTATATTTTTTAAGTAAAAATAAATAACTGTATATTCACTATGTTCCATAGACATAAATCATATAAGAGCAATATGAGAGGAGCAATTAACTGACCGGCTAAAATGCGACATTTATGTGTAATCGATTGACTATAAGTAGATGTTAACGGATACATGTAAATATTGAAAGACTGTTACAACGATATTTAGACAGCGAGCAATTAATGTTGTTCTCTATGACTTGATGATAAAAAAACGAGTATCTATGCACTCTTTATCTATCGATCTTATAATATTTTATAATAGGTGTACGCGCCTCTCTCTCTCTCTCTCTCTCTCTCTCTCCCTCTCTATTAAATAATTACAAATTTTGAATTATTAAAGTAATTTTTGAGCTTTTATCGAATATAACACTATTTTTTTCGATAGCTAATATTAGAGAAAATTGATGCATAATATATGTTGCGATTTGTGCGATGATAACAAAGATTGGGAATGGAAATTGAACGTCAACCTTTTCTTCCGTCAAATGTCATGGGATTAATTAAACCTGCAAATTGGTGACGCTGAGACAATTCTATTATATCTCTCGACTCATATTAGAGAAAACGAATAGACGCTCCAAGAAATTTAATCACACAAATAATTTCGTCACAAATAACGGTTAGGTATTAATTTCTTCGCAATAAGTCGACAGAACAGTCGAGTTCAGTCAAGTATAAGAAGAACGATGCAAAGATCGACGCCGATTAAAGACGTTAATCTCATTAAATACTTCTCATCTCTGACCCCGAACTTTGTAACCGAAGACTTCGTGGATTAAGAGATTTCCCAGCAAATGTCCGCATGTCAAGAAGTTTTGCGAAATTGCAAAGAAATAAAACAGAATTTTTTAATCTCATACGTATAACGTATATTCGCTACATACAATAATAATAAATAAAATTTGTTCATATCGCACGACGAAAAGATCTAACGCGCAGGAGCGCGTAAAAAAAAGAAAAAAGGAAATAAGTGGATCACAAAAATGAAAGTCTCTTTAAAACGAGGTGTACGTCTTTCATTAACCGCGGGCGACCAATTTTTTGCGGACGACCTCTTTTGAATTCGCTTTAATGATAGTAGTTTTCGAGTTATGTCGAGTTGCAGCGGCAACCGTATACGCAGCCCATATTAATGTACATTCTCTCTTTCTCTCCTGTATCCTGAGAAGAGAAAAATAAGGTTTACCGGGAAGGGAAGCAAACACGTTTCGCTCTTGTTCTCTGTCACATTAATGCATGCAAGATAAGTGCAAAACGCTTCACACGGCGCGGCGCGGCGGTCCGGCGATGGATTTGCATAATTCTTAATAACTGCTCTCGCACATTCGCGTGCGGTTTTTTGGTTGGGCATCCGATTACGCTCTCGGACATTATACACGCGATATGCGATACGCGATATGCGATACGCGATACGCGATATGCACAACGAGATGCAACGAGATGCCACTATTGGAATATGTATATTGCGGCTAGCGAACTTGTTAATTATTAATAGCGAGATTATATAATTACAATCGACTCGTATTTCGGTTATCAAATGAATCGTGGAGAAACATCAGTTTAATTCTAAATTACATTGTTACGATGCATTAATTACGCCTGTCGAGCGCAGAGAGCCTCTCTCAACAATGTCGAAATGAATAATAATCATGCGGAAATATAATCACATTGCATCATATGTGGAAAAAAGTCAGTCAAAGAAAAGTATCATTACCTATTGATAAATGTAAGTCGATGCATCGTTTCGTACAATAATATCCTTTTCTAAGAAAAGAATATTTATGTGCATTTGTAGATAGTACATCATGAATTTTAAATATTAAATGAATTTATAAATTTTAAGAGTTTGTATTTTTAGAATAACTTATGTTCTTAAATCTTCAAATTTTATAAATATTTTAGATCAAAGCTCATGCTAACTTTACTTTCGCGAGTAAAATTCATTAAAATATTGATTTCATAAAAAATATTTCTGAACTCAAACTTACCGATACTATATATGGTCGATACTATATCGATTTTGTATATGGGAAACCTATAATTGGATCTAACAGACCGATAGTTTTTTTTCCGTCGAAAAATATTAAACTTCCGCGAGAGCACTCTTAAAGATTGCCATTACGTTCAGGTAGACTTTAACTGTTTTAACTCTTTCAAGTTTTTATTCGTTAAGAAATACATTTTTCATAAATATTACAGTTTCAATATGACTAAAGATACTTTAGCATCTTTATCGAAGTAGCATCATTATCGAATTAAAGATTAATTTAATATATATATATACCTATATATATAGATCGGCGCGCAGTTTACTGTAGCTGAATTTTTTTAAAATTAAAAATATTATTGAGCACCAACATTTAACTTTGACGATATTTGGCGTTTTCTTATTTGTTTACTGTATATACTAGCGGCTTTGTTGAATTTATTTTTAATATTTTTATTTATTAAACTTGTTAGAGTTCATATGTTTACAAGAGTACTAGAACCTAGTTCAGGCACGCATAATCTTGAACATAATTAGACGCGAGACAGCGAGTTAATGTGCGACTACAGCGTCCCATACTTGCATAACGATAATATAACTACGTGTTATAAACCCACGGCAAACTGTAAAATGCTAATTATCCTTCAGGATAACAAAACAATGTATCATGAACCTCAAAACTGCGTGAATGCACTTGCTTTATTGCGGAAATTAAATCTTTGTAAGGATAAAATAAAGTAGCGTTCTCTTTACAATTTTTAGCAACAAAAAAAAAAGAAAATCAAATTTATTGCAATTCAGTGTGATTGGACATTATAATTGACATATTGATTAAAAATCAAAAATATATGACATTTTGATTTTTTATTACTTTATCTTATTGGCAGTAGTTACATTTGCTCTGTTAGTATTATACGCTCACCGAGCGTTCCAATTACTGTATTCCTCGAGCAAATTCGTTGCCATAACATTTCGAGTATCTCGAAGACTGAATAAAAGAATTCGACGTCAGTTGTGCTTATTGTCCCTAAGCGTAACGATATAATTCAATCCTACGAAATCTTATGTAAGATTTAAAAGAAGAGAGAGGTCAAGCATTTTTTTAATATTATTTAATTTTTTATTTCATTAGCTATGAAGAAAGTAGATAAGAATAATTATTCTTGCTCGTGTACTACTGCTCCTATTATTCTTCCATAAATTCATAAATTTAGATGTTAAATATTTTTAGGAGGCTAATTTGTTTTGCCATTTCTCATATGTATATTGAATAATAATAAGCATCACATAAACGCTTCTGTTACGTCAAATTATTATCCGTTATTATTTACTTCAATATCTTGGTATTTATTCAGACATACTACCGTTTATCATGTATTGCATGAGATATTATCGCATCTCTACTCACCGATCACGTAACTGTATCCGTCCAAGGTTAAAACACATTTGCGTGTATTTGGCGAGGATGGAATGCATGGCACTTGTCTCCGTGAAATTCGCTTGCTGGGACTGCACGAAGAACCAGTTGCACCTGGATCTGAATGGCACTTTTGCACTGGATCTTTGCCTGGTCTAGACATTATTGTCAATCGTGATTACTCAGTCTTATTTCCTCGATATTTTCGCCAATCTTTTTATTCGAGTATCGAATATACACAAGACGTCTTCGCAACTAGGACATATTATTATATGTCCTGCCATGTCTCTCATCGCTGCCATGTCAGTCAATGCATTCCCTAATTCTTTCGATTCCACTACCGCAATTAAATCGATGCGCGATTTTATTCCTGTTTACGATATTAGTATAAACCCTCTACGCACAGTCTATGCTTTAGCAGTTTAGTTTATATACGAACCGTGTTCGGTTTATCTCATATGCTGCTTTATATCGCGCATGCCGTACGTGCAACGCGTCGAGCGTTACGCGGTTCAACACGAGATTCCAGGCTTTCTGCGCGAGAAAAAAATCATCAGAAAGTACAAGTGTGATGGGATTCGAATTCCCGTTCATTTTTCTATATATATTTCGTATATGTGGAAATGACGTCAGCTATGTCTCCTCCATGTGAGAATCATATTTACCGAGGAGCACTCAAAATGTGAATAACCATTCGTTTTTTTTTTGTTTTCAGGCAAATGATGGCACAGCAATTTAATTTTCAATATGCGCGAAGAGGAAGAAGAAAGCTTCTATCTTTTCATAAATGCGCATGAAGATTTTATCATAGAAAGAATACTGCATATTTATCTTTATTTTTATCTTTATCTGTTTCTGCGATTCACGCATTATTGTATCTAACATTTTTAAGGACGGTTTATTCGTGTTATCTCTTACATTTTTATCATTTCTTTTTTACATTTTTTGCACTTTTTACAGGCAACAAAATTTTTTGTTTTTGCTTTGTCTGAGATGAAACTTGTCAAACTCAATATTGATTTAAGTTTCAGTTCTGATCGACGAGCTGGACGCGATCATCGAACAAAGCAAGAATGAGCTTTTTCACAATCACAATCTTGCCCGAGACTCGATTCTCGATTGGAGAATCATTCTTTAATTATTGTGTTTTCCTGTCGTACTCGACAGCACATAATTGCTGAGCGGAAATTCTGTGCAACGATATGGACACCGTTTTCGCGCGCGCATGTGATGCAGCACAACGCGCCTCCGCGTGTCCTTTGTAGCGTTGAGAATGGCTTTTGAAAGTAGAAAAAGATTTTCGGAAAAAAATGTGCAGTTTCAGTTGTAAAAAAGTTTATTTTCTGTACATTGTACAGAAAATTGGCGAAAATAGGATCTCAAATCTACCCTCCTTAGATTGTACATACCAGCTCGTCGTGCCGAATACGTTTGCGAGCGGCGCGAAATCACCGGCGTATATGCTCGTATTGCTCGTGACGTGCGTCTGGCCGCGAGTTCTTGCCCTGACAGATGGTATGGAGGGAGAACGAAAATCAGGCGATCGATTCACGTTACCATAACGTTAACGTCGCAGGTTGGTTACCCGTACCGGTGCACCGGCGCGCCCATGCTGTCTCGCTTCCGACATGCCATGCTGCGCGGCACGCACGACTTTTCACGGGATACGATTCGAAAATGCACGATAGCTAACATCGTGCATATTAGGCTCTAGCTATCTTTATGAATTCCTCTTTTTGCAATCGCACGTTTCACGCGATAAAATCCAAGAGAAACTTTCTCATAACTGCACTCTGGCAGGATTGCATTCGTGCTGTCACTTCCAAAGTTCCCGCCCACAACTTCGTTCGTTGAACTCGTCGAATTGCACTGGATTCTCGCTTTCTCTTATTGTATATCGTATATAGAGTTTCGAAAATTAGTACCATCAAGTAATATCCAATTTCAGTCGTTACACGCGAATAAGCATGAACGAGCGGAGCTTTTATCTTTTCACAAGTTACGACACATAATCTCGATTAGCCAATGATAAAAGAATGAGATAACGCCGTCAGGATAACACAATATTTGTTAGTTCAGTCTTTTTATAATCGGTATTTCTTGATGAAAGAGATAGAGAGGGGGGGGGGAGGAGAGAGGAAGAGAGAGAGAGAGAGAGAGAGAGAGAGAAAAAGAGATAAATCGTCGCAGGTATCTAAAAGCTCTGCGTATGGTTTGCACTGAAAACTGACAGACGCCGCATGAATCGCGCGACCAGTGGAAGAGCCGAGCGCCTAGTCAGACGCCAACGGTGATCATCTGGCGGCAAGAGCCCGAGAACGAGAGATGACGAGACAGAACGAGACGAAACGAGACGAAACGAAACAAATGGAACGAAGGAGTAACGCGCGCGTTGCCACGAAACGCGCAAATCACCAGGAAAATGGATACGAACGTCCGATCTTAGCCACGGTACCGCTACAACTGAACCACTCGAAACCTCCACCTCTCGCCGTCGCGTCCTCCCTTCTCTTTGCCGCGTCCCGCTCCCGACACCCCGACAGCCCATTTGTGACCTCTCTCTATCCAACCACCATCCGTTTTCATCTTTCATTCCCGCTCCTCGTTTCTCACTATCGTGGCTTCTTTCCCTCTCGTATCTTCCCTGTCCGTCTCTCTCTCTCTCTCTCTCTCTCTCTCTCTCTCTCTCTCTCTCTCTCTCTCTCTCTCTCTCTGAACCAAAGCTTGCCAATACTTTTTGCTCTCTCTTTTTCCTTTATTTGCACCATACTTGAAACCCTCTTTGCCCTTATACTACATATACGCACATGCATGCGTGCGTGCGTGCGTGCATATATGTGCATATATATATATATATATATATATATATATATATATATATATACTATGTGTGTGTGTTTGACATTGAACATTTCCCGAGGCTTTCTCCGACGCATATTTCGTCACCGATCCGGTGAAAAGATACTTGAGCTATATTCCAAAATGTTGCTTTTGAAGAAAATTTTGTTAAAACATTTTATCTATAGCATACCGTAAACTCTAGCTTGAAAATGATGTGCGATGAAGTGATTTTTATGTCACTAAAGTATTTTCTCTTTTACTTTTTGTTATCTTTATTTATTTAGCTGCTATCATCATAGCGAGTTCACTGAAAAATGCTCCAAAACAGGAACGATATTTAAATGTTTATAAGAAATTGTATATACAGTAAATCACATATATGTTCAATGGAAAATATTGTTAAATTCCTCATTGTAATTGTCTCTTTTATTATATATCGGTATTTTTATTAATCTTACTTAATTTTTCCAAGATTGTCGCCTACATAGGGAAATAACATGAGGAAAAAACAATATGAGTGAGAGAGAGAGAGAGAGAGAGAGAGAGAGAGAGAGAGAGAGAGAGAGAGGGACACACAAAATTATCACTTATATATAAATCTATCTTTTCTGTGACGAAAAAGACGAGGAAATTGAACTGAATTGTGAGATTCGGTCACTTTAACTGAAGAACGTGCTTGCTCATAAACTGCGTAAACGCAAAGTAAATAAATATATATCTTCAAAATTAGAAGTTTCTCTTCCTTCTTTTAAGACATATTTTTCATAATCAATTTCAAAAATCCAATCTTTCTTTCAGATCTATTTTAAATAAATAAAAATATCTTGAAATAAATCGAGGAAAGACCAAACAAATAAGACTTTTATTTACTTCTTCACTATAACAGACTGATTAAACACTTTAGACGCGCGATATCATGATACAAAAATCTTCAAAGATCTTGAAAGATCGGAAATATAACAGTTGCCGCACCATTAAACTTTTGGGGCTTGCTCGAATTCAACGCGAACTGTCTTTCTCTTTCTAATGACTATTACGTCCGCTCTTCTTTTGTAACGTAGCATTCATTCGAATATCCGTGCCCCATCCCTTTCTGCGCAATAGCTTTTTATCTTGCTTGCGCACTGACCGAAATATTCAGGGAGTTTCACACGTGAATTTTACACATTAGCTCTCCTGCGTGATAGTACCGCACCTATGAGCCACTCCTACCGTGACCCAACTAATTGCTTAATCAGATACTTACCTAAATAGTAAATATCATCAAGAGAAAAACAAGAAGCACTAAAAAATCTTGATCTATAGTTAAAAAAGTGGTTTCATTAAAACAATGATTTACGTGATATTCACTTATTTTGTGACGTTGAAATGTGAAAACGGTACACGTTAGAAACAAATTAAAACAAGTAAAAAAGCAAATTAAAACGTATAAAGCAGAGATTCTCTGCACGATGATATGAATAAAATTACATATCTTAATAATATAGAAACATTTCTCTCCATATATAGATAGAGTTGTTTCAAAGTACAATATTATATATTATATTGTATATATGTGTGCATATACACACAGTTGTAATTATAAAATATTGAAATTTTGTGCAAGATCTAAATCGAAAATGTTGTGTTATATCTTTAAGCAGAGTAACAGAGAGATAGAAAGAGACATTTTTTTAGGATAACAAATTTCTTAAAGTGATCTGAAAGTGTAAGATTTACACTTTTCTTCGAGAAATTTTACGATGTAGGAATAAAGGAACTTCAGTCTCCTCGTCTTTCCTTGCCGAGATTACAACTCTAAAGGGGAAAGCAGATTATGACGAAACGGTATTATAATAGTTGGCCAGATAAGCTGTGCAGTAGCCAGCGTTTATTATAAATGCAAATGCATTCTGCTCGCGATATTTCTGCTCTGATAAAGGGGAAAGGAATAGGGGAGACGGCAATTTCGATTACGGCTGGTCGCGCGTATCTGCGAGAAGGACGTCAATTTAGCAGGAAGATAATCTTGCTGTCGAGTACCGAGCCGTTCTAACCTTCCTCAAACGAAACTCTGTCTCGAGAAACCTTCTTCCGTCGCTCTTATAGATGATATCGCTACAAATCTTATTCAGTATCCTTTTCTCTCTCTCTCTCTCTCTCTCTCTCTCTCTCTCCCTTCCCTATCCTTTTTATGTCTCTTTGTTACATGTCTTTTTTCGTCTTTTTTCCTTGCTTTTTTGTTTTACGATGAAATCAGCATGTCATGTAAACGTATAATATGCATCCATTCGTCCAGTTTTGTGAAGGTGCAGGACGAATGAACACAATAGAGTACTTCGTTAAATGCGTCTGCATCTGATGAATTAATGCATTCGCCTGTAGTTGTTGGAAGCACGCTTAGTTTGTTCAAAGATAATAATAGTCAATGAGGACGACTTAAGTACAATGTAGACAAGTACAAGTTTGCCGCTTATATCGTGCCTGTCGATCTGATGAAGAAATGAAAAGCGAGAAATGATGACATAGAAATGATGATACTTTCATATTCGACGATTGATTGATTTTCGAGTGAAGATATATCACACGCAACATGGAGAAGCGCGCATGAAATGTATTCTACGCTCGTTTCAATTTGTTGAAATTCCCTTTGATGCTCTCAACTCGACGTAGTAATGTAGGTTCTGGTTTCCTTTCGTTTGCATTTTGTTTCTCATTTGCTCATTCTCTTTGCTTTCTTTTTCTCTTTCTTTTCATATCTCTCTCTCTCTCTCTCTCTCTCTTTCTTTTTATATATTATAAAGTACATTCTAAACAATAATAAAAAAATGAATTTATATTTAATTTTGCGCTTTTCCTGTTTCAGTTTCTGATCATTTATCTGATGGTTTATTGAATAGAATAAAAATTGTATAAAATTATATGCAAAGAACATTGATATCTATGTATTTTATATTCAAAATAAATGTCTAAATAGATGCGTGTTTTCTAAAAATCTATTCTTTCTGAAGAAATAGAAAACATACCGTCTTAAAAGCAACTCTACACTTTCTATCTTATACTTCACATATGCCTCGATTTATTTTGAGGGGTTTATTAGAAAATTAAAGGTTTTGGTTCTGCAAATTAAAAAAAAAATGTATTTAAAAAAATAATAAAACCTTTTAGGCGATATCGCTCAGGAACATTGGCGGCTGATAGACGCCACAAACAATCGTAAAGTTGTGTACGGACGATTAAATCAATTCAAGGAGCATGGGGGTGAGAAAGTTTAAATTCCATAGCGATATAAAAGCGTCCAGTGTTGCAAGAGACGCATAATTCACCTGACGCCGCTATAACGCGGCTATTTTTTTACGATAAAAATGCCGTGGTTCGCGCGATAATGCTAGGTTCACCTCTATTTATTATACGCGACGCACTTAATAGCGATCGTTATGTACCCATCAATTAATACCTGTGTGCTCATCAAACAGACAGAAGAGAAACGCGATAGCGGGCCATCGGGTTAAACCGACGTCGGAGTCAACCAATTAAATGTGGGACTGCATATTCCTATCTGCAGCACATGTATGTCCTTTATGTCCGGCTTAATGTCGCACTAATTATCGACTGTTATTATCGGCTCGATAATAGAGACACTACATCACAGACCGGATTCGTCAGTAATATCAATGACAATCTGATTAACAAAGACATTTGTTCGTTGTACAATAAAAATGATGAATATAATCGTGTCCCACATGAATATCCTTGCTTATATTAGTAACGTTTTTATTTGTCGTGGAGGAGCGATACTATAAGTTGCACTTTGGACTTTGAGCTCGAGCAAATTTCTTTGACCTCGCGAAAAACGCGTTGATTTTTATCACTAGCGCCCTCGTGCTCCAAGTATTATATAATTTTTATAAAAAAGCGGTATTCGCTTATATTTGCTTTAAAAGTTTCCGAATGAGCGCGAATCGTGCACAATCGGCTATAATTGCAGTACGCTGTCTAATAGCTACGAGACTCTATGTATGTTGAAAAATTCAAAGTACAATAAATCAAATTAACTAGCTAGAGTAATGAGGCATTGTTGAATTTACTCGTAGCGAAAAATATGAATAGATCAATAGAGAATACATAGCTATCTCTCGCTAACAAGAAAAATTCAACTATATAAATTGGTAATATTATAACTTACGTAATTAAGTAAGTAAGTAAGCGAGAAAGAGAGAGGAGGAGGGAGATAAAAGGAGCAAAAAAAGAGCTGTATTAAATTAGTATAGTAATTTAATAAAAAGTCAGTTCAATTATACTATCACATACGCATGAGTATATTATTGTATATATATTAATATCACGTGAAACGTAATATAAAAACGTAATATAAATTAATTTCCTCAGTTAATTAATATGTTAATTAATGCCAATATTACAGTAATACTATAATATTTTTGAGCGCACACACACGGCATAAAGCACTTTCTTCCTGTGTGAGCATACGGCTGTACGAAATTGGATCAATGAAACATTAGGAACAATGGCTCGAATAAATTACTCCGCGTCCGCAATTATATCATTCATTAATTTAATTAAATTCTATATGCGTCGAGACCAGTAAGAACGGCGTAATAATCCGTTTAAATGTAATATC